CTGCCCGTATCGGAAGCACTGGAGGATGTTTTTAACATGTATGACAGGGTAAGGATTAAATAATAGTTTCTGTAGTAATAAATTATGTAATATGTTATTATTATTATTAATTATTATGTTTAATAATAAATTAAATGTTGTTAATTTCAGACATGAGCCTTTTCAATGGAAACATGAAATTCTGCGTTTTTTAAATTCAATTCTGATGGCTCCTGAGATTCGTCTTGCCTGAGATTCGATAAATATTCAGTTTTTTGAAACCTAGTCTTATGTCTGTGATTTGGTTGACATACATTAGCTCCTGCATTTTGATTGGGGAGTTGTAGAAACGGTTTCTGTTTTTTCAGAACATTGTTTTCTTGATATGAAGAGGTAAACATGAAGATGAAAATAACTTGACTGTCTTGTGTCATTCAATACTTTGTACTTCATAGCCAATCAGTACACAGACCCATGCATTGTCATGCATTTCATCATCATCTGTCATGTAAATTTGCTGGGGGACAAATGTTGTGTAGCAATAACTGAGGATGACTGCATGAAATATAATGACAAAATATCCATTACCTGAACCAATTTATACGACGCACTCAACACAAAGTCTGTTACAGGAACGAGTCACACCTACTTCAAGTTTTCGCACTTGTGGTCATGTGACAATACACGCCACTGTACCCCTTTGTTATTACAACTACAAACGCCACTTACAATTTCCTTTTTTTCCTTTACTTAACACAGTTTTGGGCCTGTCTCGATAGGTAGCTGTAGTTTTGACCTGCTTTTATCATTTGTGCTCAAAATTAAGTGCTTGTTCTCTGACTGTTCTCATGGTCTCCTTGTACTTCTTTTCATATCTTTATATGCTTGTTTATTTTCAGGATAATTCAGGTACCATAGATTTCCGTGAATATGTGATAGGTTTATCTCTAGTCTCTGGGCCTGCAAATACTGAAGACACTATTCAGCTGGCTTTTCAGGTGAGATTATTAGATGAAATCATGAATTTTTTAAATGATAAGAAAATGATAAGAAATAATAACAAAAAGTATGGAAAAAATAGGACTTTGTATATTTATTTCTTGAAATCTTAGATTGAAATACAATTTGAACAAGTATCATTGAATGCTCTTAAATATTTAAAAGAAATTATTCTGTCATCTCTGGCATGCAGTGCTGTTATTAAAACCATTCACAAATGGAAGGCTGTTAACGAATGGCTCCAATTTCACCTGAGAACCTTTTATAGAGTACCGTACTAGATTTATTTCTTACATTTATAGCTGTTTGACTCTGAAGGCAAAGGCTATCTATCCGAGTCCGACTTGGCTCAGATGTTGCACAATGCATTTGGCATGGATGAAGAAGGAGTGAGGAAGCTTTTCCAGCAGGTGGACAAAGACCAGGATAGCAAGATAAGCTTTGGTAAGAATTCCAAGTTTTTGAGTGTCTCAAAGTCACCTTTTCGATTTAATGTGAAGACAACTTTAGGAGAGCTTGAAATTTGTTTCCAACCTCTGCACCAGTAGAGTGACAACTCATCTAATATATTTCAAATGTTTTAAGCTGTAATCAGATTCAGTCTGTATATGATTGCTGCTGTTGTCAGCAGCTTGGCCAGCCTTGTGCACTTTCTTTATGATTACAATCACTTTAAAAGACAAAACATGACAAAGTTCATAGAATGGCCTAATCTTATCAGTTATATTATTCTGTTTGCCATTTTGTAAATGTTAGAATTTTGTTCTTAAAAACAGGAGAACATTTTGTTTTATTATAACAGTAAAAGAATATTATTGATTATGGCATTGACTTCATAAGAATTTACACTGTTTGTAAGCCATGATGTTGGAGCATTATTTGTGCCTTTTGTTGGCCATCACATTATTTTATGTTTGAAAAAAAATGTATTTCCTCCAGATGAATTCAAAGCCTATGCAAAGCAGAAGCCAGAATATGCCAAGCTGTTCATGACATACCAAAAATTGACAAACTCAGCAAATAGCGAACAACCATTTGAAGAACAAATTGACAATGATGCTAAACAAAAGCAAGACTGACGGTGTTATACCCATAATGCCACGCCCAAGTTAAGCTCAGCTATAGATGTCGCTTCAGTGAAGAATCAAGCAACAAGACAAGACTCATTTGACATTTAGATTTCAAATTTTGGGTTGTATTTACTTTTTCAGGAAGGACTGTGATGACTGATTCAGAAATCTTTTTATTAAGAAATCAAAGACTACAGTTTACTAAATTTTCAGCAAAGCCCAGCTTCTTTACGATTTTCAAAGCTACATTAATTTTTCTCATGAGTGTTCTCCATCATCCATCAAAATACTAGGATCTCAAACAATCCCAACCACTTTGTATACATGATGATATTAATGTGAAGTGGTCAACCAAAATCAGGCAGATATTTTATATTCAATGTTATGTGTTGTAATATTTGTTTTACATTCTCTGGGTTTAGTCACGGATAGAGTTACTGCTCAATTTTATCTCTTTTTATGTACTTATATGTATCCCTTCACTCCCTATATGTGTATTCGATATTGGGTGTTTTATATAGATAACTTATACTTGGATGATTATTGATATTATTAAAACAGTAGTGTCCTGAAATGATCTAATTCTGGGAAAGAAAAGCTGTTGGATGGCTATATGTAAATGGATATCAAGTTAATATACCCAGTTGCTTGGATTTTATCAAAATCATGAACTTCAAGACAAAATCAGGTAGAAAATTGGTTGAACTGATTGCTCCACCAGGAAAATAATTCCTGAGTACTTGTCATAAATGTTTTGCCATAAATTGTTATCGTAATATGTAAAATGTGCTGCTGGTTGTGTGTGTAAATATTTTTGAGCTGTTTGTATAATATGTGTAATATTTAATGTGTATAGGGTTTATGCCTGCTGTGTTTTAAGATCTGAAATTTCGATGATCAGCTAGATGTTGTTCTGTGAACAACAAGTTTCTCATGGATGTCTGGGAATTTGCATCAATCTCAGTCTTTTAGTTTTTAATAAATGATTAGTAACAGTTGAAATCATGGCTCTTATCAGAATCCTCTTTTTTATATTCAGTTGTTGGATATTTTGATGTTAAGCAAAGAAATGCCATAATGGCTGCCATCTTAAGTAACTATAGCTGACTTTAAAAGTGAAATCCAAACAATTTCAGAGTGGAATAGTCATCCAGCTTAGACTAGTAATAAAATGTATCACAGACCTGCTTTATTTTTGGCTAGTGCTCATGCTTTTGTAATGCTTTAACATGTTTTAATTAGGCTATCAGATACTAAGGTTTTGAACCTTCCTGTATCCTCTTCAACATTGTAATGAGCTTTCTGATTTATACTGTAACTTATATTGAAATATATGTACATCTCAGTTTCACATGCTAGATTTTCTGACATTCCCCTTAAAGGCTTTGAATGCTTTGTGAAATGGTGGTTTTATATATTATACATCTGACTACGCATTTCTTTAATAAGCTGATGCATGCTTGCTTATAGGTGTTATGGGTATAAGATTATTAAAGCCCTTAGCTATTGCTTTGGTGCCAGTTAATATGTAATATTGCTGTGAGCTGATATCAATAGAGTAGTATTTAGTTGTATAGGTATTACATAGCTGATGTCTAGATTAGTATTGCTGCTGTTTCTTTTCTTAGAAATAGAGAAATTGATGCATGTGTGGCTGGAATGAAAAGCACAATCTTTTTATTACAATTGGTCATTAAGGAGTTCTGGATCTGTTTGGTTCACTTTTGTATATTATTAGTTGTCCTGGTAAGTATAACTTTGTGCAAAAGGTCATGTAGTGACAGTTACCATTGTAATATTTGAAGTCAACTTAAGAAATGTTTAACCAAGCACACACTTACTAAATGAAAGTCTGGTACTTATTTTAGAAATGTGTATGTTGACGTTTTGAATAAATAAACCTATTTGGACTACAGTGGAAGGATCTCTCTCACCCAATCTCACTTTATAGGTAAAGAAATGCAACTAGTTAAGTAATTTTATATGCTGATTGATGGCACATCTTGTGTTTCTAGGCAATATAAAAAATCACATTATTGGAAGTATGCATGTCTACACCTGCTAAATATACCAGAATATTCATACTGTGCATAATAGGTATATACTTGTTTTATTATCAGGAATATAGTGCAATGTATTTCAATGGTTTTACTGTAAAAGTTCAGTTCAGCATTTGTATTGATTATAAGTGAAGCAAAGGTTTTATTTGTATTTATTACTTAATGAATATTCTAACATTTTTGCCGAAGAAGAAAATCAAGATTGAAAGGCATGTATGTATTATTACAATACTTAACTAAACACAGATATTGTGTCCGAATTGGATGCTGTCATTTGCACTGTTTGCTGTATCAATTTTAAGATTGTTTATCAGTGTTAATAAAGGTTAATTATTATACCTAAAAGCAATTGTTTTGAGATTCTGTTTCCCATGCCAAATGTTCTCCACTATACTTCCCTGCACATAATTTGCAAGTCAAACCCCAAAGGGAAGAAAAATGATTGGTTTTCTTAGAAAAATGAGTGTTAGAGGAAAAAATTAGCACAGAAATATTTCAAGTAAAAGTAGACCATCATATAGGCAAATAGAATTGGTGACTTGAACCACGTTTGATCGTTCTTTTTTATGATTAAAAGGATAATTTTTTAAAGTCAAGTCAAACCCCAAAGGGTAGAAAATGATTGGTAAGAAAAATGAGTGTTAAAAAAAAGAACTAGCACAGAAATATTTCAAGTAAAAGCAAACTATCATATAGGAAAATGAAATCGGATATTTAAATTACATGTTTGATAATTCTTTTTATGATTTAAAAAATCGGAGATTTTCCAAAATGTCAGTACATTGCAAAATGTAGTGCAGGTCATACCTATTATGTTAGAATGGGAGTTATTTATAGCTATTCTGATCACGTGACTGGGGAATCCCTCGTGACGTAAAAGTCACATGACTGAGTAAAATAAACACCAAAGAGTAGAAGATGGCCGACGAAGAAATAAATAGCCAAGTTGAATTAGATGTGGACAAGTAAGTAAGGAATGATATCCATAAAAATTCAGTCACACACAAAGAGGATGTTTCAGATAAACTGCACAATATGAAATCAAGAAAATATGTTTTGCAATACGCCTTACTTTACTGGTGTCTGATGAGTCTTAATCAGACAAAACCAGGCTTAGACAGCTTACGCAACGATGACTTGACATTTTAAATCCCAAAAATTTTTTCATAAAGCTATTTGGGTCTTATCAAGGGTAGTAACTCTTAAGATCAATACATTTATCACACACTAGGTTAAATATTTCTGTCAAACTCCCGTTTTTTGGAACGATGAGGGGGCATTGAGATTCTACTGGCCCGGGGAAATAAAACTACCGGTAGTAACTTCATAAATCCGACAAAATCTAATGTCCTAGCTAGCTGTAACTAATAATAATGATAATGATAATAAAATGATAATAAAATAATTATTATATGTAACAGAGCGGGAATTATACGCAATATGATCATGTTTTTGCATCATTTTCAGTGCTGGCTGGTTACGAAGAAAACTGCGATGGAAGCCAACATCTAAAGGACTGTTAGCAGAGGCCGAGCAGAAACTGTTTCAGTGTAAGGGAATCTATAGGGACCATTCCCATAACCCTATCGTACTAGCAGTGTCGAACTATCTCCAAGGGGATTCTTGCAAAATTGCATCCTAGCAGCTTCAGTGGGCGTGACAGACATTTAGGCTGCTTAATTAAAGTGAATCCCCTCGGAGTTAGATCGATCGTGCTAGTACGATAGGTTTACGTGAACCCAGTCTTATTATAATAGTTTATCAACAGTATTCACAAATGGCTTTCTCCTTGATTGGGAAATGAATCCCAAAACCACATACAGAAAACAACTTCAGAATATAAGACTAGTCTACTATAATGCTAATATGGAAATTTTTTTTCTTAATTTATAAATTTTAATACGAAATTAAATTGTCTTATAGACACCAAAGTGATAAGACTATTTAGTATTTACAGATGCATGGACTATAAGTAAAAGTATATCTGAGAGATTATCTTAATTTAGCTTTCAGAAAAAAGGCGATGACTGGATCAACAGCAAAACGACTGTTATTAGTAATTTATTTGTCATATCCTAAATATATTAAACTCTTTTTGCAATTAGTCTAAATGATACAGACTCACAAACCTGTGTCTGTTTATGATTACAATTATTTACTTTCTACATGCAAAATACTTTCAAACATTTTGTGTCTTAATTTTAGCTCTCAAAGGAAAATACCAGGGCAAGTACATCCCTGTATCAAATGGGCAAAATCAAATCTGGACAATATGTTTTAACGGACAGTTACAGTCAGTTAAAACTGAGACCACCACAGATGACAAATCCTCCTCTTCTTCACACCATCATCATCACCATCATCACCACCACCACCATCATCACGACCATTCTTCAAAGAAATCTCCCCTCATCCTCATTCATGGCTTTGGAGGTGGAGTAGGCCTATGGGCACGAAACCTACTTCCATTATCAAAAGACCGACCCCTCTATGCATTTGACGTCCTAGGCTTTGGGAGAAGCTCAAGACCTGATTTTGGCCACGACCCTAGTGAGATCGAGGAGGAATTCGTCCAGTCCATCGAGGATTGGAGAAAGGGTGTTGGTCTGGAGAAATTTGTCATGTTGGGTCACAGTTTTGGAGGATTTTTGTCAGCGGCCTATGCATTGAGACATCCAGAGCATGTGGAACATGTGATACTGGTGGACCCCTGGGGCTTCCCTGAAAAGCCGGCAGATTATCAGCAGCTCAGGAGGTTACCTGTGTGGGCCAGGGCTATAGCACGGATGTTACAGCCGTTCAATCCACTGGCAGGGTTAAGGGCACTGGGACCCCTAGGTAAGACAAGCCACTGGTCAGGTATTCATAAGCCCCATTCCCATTGACAACATTGATCTGCATGGTTCGACCCAACTCTGTGAGGATTCTAGCTGACTGCAGTCAGCTTAACTGAATGACATGCCTCTTTCTGATAGATAATATAAAAGCTGGTGATTATACAAGTACGTTTGAAACAAGAGGAAGGGTGTCATTCAGTTAAGCTGATTGCACTCGGGGAGAGTCCCTGCAGAGTGGGGTGGATCCGCATAGACCAATGGTGTCTATGGGAATGGGGTCATAAAGCTCACACAGTGAGACATATTTAAAAGGCCTTTTAACTGATAATTCACATTGAGCATTCTACGTTTAAAGCATTCTGTTTTGAACATTCTTCCATTAAATTATGCTACAGTGGACTTCACTCACTTTCAGTCTCTCAAAACAGAAATGCTTAGCTAGAGTACTTGATGTGAAAAGGACTTGACAGTCATAGATTATTCATTCACATTAGTTTTGCATGGATTATAAACATTAAAACAAATTGTATATTATTATCATTGTTATAGTTAATTTAAATTGTCTGATAAATTCACAGGTCCAGGCTTGGTTAAAAAATTCCGCCCAGATCTGATGCGTAAATTTGGCAATGAGGAAGATGATGGGTCTATCCAGAACATAGCTGATTATATCTATCACTGTAATGCTCAGGACCCAAGGTAAGAGACAGACTTCTGATATTAAAATTGAAAACCAATAGTCACCATATGTTTATCAAATTAATTTTCTACAAGTTCACGGGGCGTGGCTACATGAAAAATTGATATAAAATTAGAATTTTCGTGTTGGGCACAAAATGGTAACAAGCCATGGCTGTAATTTGTGTGTTTTGATATTGTCAAATAACTTGTCAGCTCTGCCAAAATAAATTTGAAGTGAATGAATCAAATATGATCAAACTTGAAAAGGTTTAGTGTTTGGTGATGTTTTATACTGAAGACTATTTTGGAAAAAAAATCGGCATTTAGTGTTTCATTAACAATAATTAGCAGTAATCTGAAATCTCATGTAGTCTTTCTAGATTTTCACAGAAATATTCTGTATTTTCAGTGGTGAAACAGCCTTCAAAAGAATCAGCATTCCATTTGCCTGGGCAGCCAACCCAATGCTACACCGTATCCATGAAATCCAGAAAGATATTCCCTTCACTATGATTCATGGAAAGGATTCCTGGGTGGACAATGAAAGTGCTTACAAGACCAAGAGCATCAGGAGTGACTCCTATGTTGGAATTGAGGTAGGGCACAACTACATTGTTGATAAATGTTTATTTATTTATTTATTTATTTTTGCTTAGAGCCCATTCCCATACCTAGATCGATCTAGCGGGATCGGTCAATCTCCTAGGGGATTCTGGCTTAATTGCATGCCTTTCTGGCACGCCTACTGAAGCTGCTAAACAATACTAAATTACTCCCTAACAGGTTCAGTAGTTGTGCCGGACATCAGAGCCACTTAGACTTTGTGCAATTTAGCTAGAATCCCCTCAGAGACGGTACAATGACGCTAAATTGATCTTAGACTTAGTATGGGAATGGGGTCTTATATAAATTAATGGATTATTTAATTAAAGAATGCTTCAGATCTGTTAGATATATTCCAGATATCAGAGCCATATTAGTGGAAGATGAACGTGTCCCACAAATACGTTTTTTAACTTTTGGAGTCAACTATCATATTCTGTCTGGTTGTCTACACATATTGCTCAAGTTGTATTAGTATTTGTCTCTTCATTCATCTATTGTTTTTTTTATTCAATTATCCATCTTTTTGTCTGTCTGTCTACTTTTATTTATTTATCGTTTAAGATCATAGAAGATGCAGGCCATCATGTGTATGCAGACCGACCCAAAGAATTCGATGAAGTGGTGTTGAAAGTTTGCAAAATGGTAGATGAGGGAAACTTGAGGTCAAGTCCAGAGAAGAAAGAGACATCTTTATAACTCCGTAATGATTTTAAATGAAAATAATCAAACACAAGCCGAACAATCTTTCATACCATTAGCTTACGGCCAACCTGGACGTAGGCCTTCATCAGACTGATGTGAGTAGAAGTTGACACTCACTGACCTATGGGTGATTTAGTGGCCAGTACCCTCCTATAAATGTCAGGTAGATCGTCCCCTGTCCCTATTCATAATATTCATTTATTATATATATATTTTCATTGAATATATATATTTTCATTGATCCAACTACCAAGCTAATGAACATTTTGCTCCATATTGATTTATTTAATATATAGCTTTCCTCTTGATGAGGTAATTGAAAGTTCAAGGAACACATTGAATCAATCAGAGAATATAATTTCCTGACAATGAGCTTTTCTCAGTTTGCCAGTAATGACAAGATGTAATCATGTCGCCCATGCCATATCTAAAGCTTTGCCAATTTTTATTGAAACATAAGAGAATTCTTGTTGAATAAAGTTACAGAAGTGTTATTACTAGTTACCTATTCTGCAGCTTCCCAAATAGAAAGTAGAAATTAGGACTGATTGTGGGGCAAATATATAGTTCTGTTTATTTGATCTTGGACCTAAATAGAGAAGGACAAGTAACGCGGAGNAAGGGACTGCGAGAAATTGCGTTATCAATGCAGAGAAACAATAGAAATGCACTGAAGCACAGCGCGCGCTACCTTAATAATAAGCTGTTCAGACGCCCGTGGAGCTATCAAAACAGATTATGTGAGACAATGGGCGAATGTTTACCCGAACGCACATAGCTTCAAAGGAAGATGCCGCGTTACTTGTCCTTCTCTATTTAGGTCCAAGATTTGATGTACCAGTTGTTTCTTAATGATATGGACCATCATCAGAAATTTTGTAACAAACCATTGAGTTAATAATTTATTATTTGATGTTTTCTGAAAGAAATCTGTATCAATATACAGCATGTTATTTATTTAAAGGAGGGAAATAAAAACAACTGTAATCAGTGTACGAGGTAAGTGTTAGTAGAAAATAGTACCTTGCAGGTATACACGGGTAATTTATAAGACTGTTGTAATCTCCTTTGTAGCTTAAGCACATGCACAGAGTGCCAGTTATTGTCTTTGTTGTGATCATTTTGTGTTAGGATTTGTCATTAGAATATTTATTGGGAACTTGACAATGTGCAAAGTGATGTTTGTAGTTTGAAAATGATTTTTAATATGGAAATATTGTATTTCTTTCATTATTCTTTTTAAATATTTATATAATAGTATAATATTTATTGTTCATCTCAGAATTTGTGATCAGTTTTGATTTTTGTGTTATCATTAATTTAAGTGTTTGTGGCAGTAGTAAATACACATGATGAAAGAGAACAAGAAATAAAATATACAATGCATGACCCTGTCACCAAGATTTTGTTGTTATATGTATATCATAGGCCTTTTACAACAAAAGTAAAGAAATGTAAATATATACTGTGCCAACTAAACATTCAATTTTTTTTTTTTGTTAAAATAGTAAAAATGATAATCATGTTATCACGATTTGTCAGTGTTGAAATGAAAGACTGATGAAATGTCCAAATTATTAACACCTTTCGTCAATTTTCTCTATTCATCTTTCACATGCACAGAAATAAGGGCAGTGACTGTCTGGGTTACAAGCTTCCAACTGATATCTTAAAAAAAACAAACAAAAACATTCAAGTGTTTGACTGCCATTATTATAATGTAAGAGCTGCGAAGCTATGCACATTTGTCCAAGGAAAATGGTGATCTGTTAAGAAAGTTCATGAGCTGAGAAAAAAATACAGGGAGATGGAAGTGTTTGAAGTTGGCAATGATAGCCAGTTTGGATCGATTAACCAGCAACGTCACTAACGATGGTCAAAAAGAAGAGTTCTTCAAATTTTTCTGAGAAGGTTTGCTTTGTGTGAAATGAACAAGGTGAAAAATGGCCCAATTCAACTTACGTATTTATGGCTACATTTTCATGTACAGATAAAAAACTTGGTAATGGGAAATAAAATTCACAGGAACCACATTTTCTAACAACTGGATCTTTATTTTTTTAAAATCAATCGTTGTGATGAAAGTTAACATTGGACTTCCCTACCAATCACCTCTTACATACAGAGTCATCCTCATCTGCACCAAATATCCTCCAATTACATTGCAACAAGACCAATCTGAAGAACTTTTACTTAACACTGCTACTGTAACAAGCCTTTTCATAATTACTACACTGACCAAACCAAAAGGAAAACTAAGAGTTCAACGAGGCAAGGTCACCTCCTGAGTATGTACCACCAGCTACCTATGTCCTCAAAATGGGGGCAGCATTAAAAAGGCCATTCCTGATTGGGAAACGAAACAACTTTGAAAACTTGAAGGAAAAAATATAATCTCTATGAATATGAGATTATCATAGTAATTTGATTAAAATTGCTGTACAGCAGTGGTTACAAGGTTTTTCACATTATGATGCAGCTTTCCAAATTTGATTTTGAGAAAAAAGGTCACTATATAAAGTAGTCCTTCAACTACCTACATATTACTTCCTTAGATCTTCGATCAATTCCAAGAGAACAGCAATCATTCTTCAAAATAAGAAAATAAAACCCCATACGATTGTGAAGTGAACAATAATTTGGTCAATAACAACCAAGTTCAGTCACACAACCATGGCAAGTGTCTCGCGAATCCAGATAATTTACCCCAGATAATTGGCTGTAAGCTGGCGGTACAATAGTATACCTTGTGTGACCTACAAACACCTTATGCATTTGGGTTGCATTGCATTATTTTAATTAATACTGGAAATTAAAAAAATAAAATAAAATGAAGCTCAACAAATCTCATTGAGGGAGCAGTCACTGTCAGATAGGCTCAGCCTTAGTTCACAATTAAGACGAGAAGTCTGCTTGGACAAAGACAACCACCAACATTTGGCAAGGAAACTAACATAACTATTATTTACTCCTTAGTTACCTGGGACATGATCTATTGATCTTGAGAATACCTGAAAAAATTGGTCCAATCACCCTCCCCCCTTCTACGATAATATAGTACAGCAAAATATATTTCAATACACTGAAATAACAAGTATGGGCTATGCTACAATTTTCCTTAGTATAAGCTTTTTTTATAGGTCTAGCTCGTGGCTGCAGACATCAATTTCTGCAATTTCAGTGATCACCACTATGAATGGCATGCATCTTAAATTACACTTATATTGTTTTAGTTAAATGTGGTAAGAAGGGACTCCTGTACGATTAATACCACTGTCATATGACATACTATATCATTTTTTTTTTTTTTGTAATATATGGAGAGAAAGGGCCCTGCTTCACTCCATTTCTTAACTATACCAAAAGCTGAGACCACATTAGATTTAATAACATAATTATAAATGTTGTCGTACTGACAGGAAAATATTTCTTTTATTCACATTATGATGATGGTATATAATGGTTCCATGAACAGTTCATCAAAACGTGTTCATTTGTGAGTATTCTGAGCATCCAGTTGCCAAAAGAACCATTTGGATTGAGACAAAGGTTCCAAAAGGGATTTATTCTAGTACTTATTGACTATTGCTTTAAAAGGTGACAAATTCCAACAGATATAACCTTTTAATTCCAGGTTTCTTTTCATCCAGCTATAGCGCAGTTATATTCTGTGCACTCCCCACCCTCTCAAAATAAATAAATAAATAAATAAATAAATAAATAAAATAATCATAATAATAAAATAAAATAAAAATTGTACATAAAAATCCAATGAATGGTCCCTTCAATAATACAACAGCACATATTCCAGTTTTCTTGTAGTTACATGAAGCAAATTTTTAAAACAATCACTTCATAATCTGTTGCTTCATTTTTCACACTGAAAACTCACATGGCCAAAAATTCACATTAAAAAAAAAACAAAACAATATTTTGGTATTCCATTTTTTTCTTCAGTTCTTAACTTATGTCCTCTGTCAGTGTCTAAGTGATTAAAGTTTTTCAATCATTCTAAAGAAAAAAAAACCTGAAATCACTCTGTTCACCCACAGAACTTATGCACAGACTTCTTCATGTTTTACTAACTATACTGGGACATATATTACAGGGTATTTGCTAAACTGAGGACTTCTATCTGTCTCAATCCAAGCGACTCTTAAGAAATTGATTAAAAGCATAAGTATACTGTGATAATGCAATAATAACAAGAATAATGACTAACATAAAATCAAATCAGCGCCTTCCTTTGTCAGTTCCAAATATAACAATTAGATAATAATAGATAGTTCAGAGAGGCAGGGGTCGCCTCCTGATTACGCACCACCAGCATAGCATGTCTGTTATACCATAAAAGTCATTTTCAACAGTAAACTTGATTGTAAGAAAACAACAAACTGAAAGACAAAGACCTTAAATATAAACTTTTCATCTGCAACAAACACCCCAGTTCTGAACTAAGAAAATCTGGTTAACACCTTCAGTGACGTCAAACTTTCATCAGTGAAACTACCACTACAAATCCAAAACACCTTTAAGATTTACTCCAGGATGTGGGTAGTCAGTCATCAACCAAGAACTAGAGGAGAAAAAAAAAAGAAAAAAAAAAAAAAAGCTTCAGAGTCTATGGGACCCCTTAAACTAAGGCATATTGTGACTTCTTAATTTATTTATGTCTTATCTAAAAAGCCTACGAGTAAACCATTTCTAACCACTCCAACTTCTGGGGATTGTAATTGACTTGATTCAATAACAGCAAAAGTGAGTGGGACCAGAGAGGGATAAGACTGGCTCCTTACGGTAAATACCCCCTGCTGATACAGTATGTAATACAACCTGCGGTAAAAGAGGTCGACGAGAATGTACCAAATTTAGTGCACCTTCCAACTATAATCTGGTGGTACAAAACTCCTTGCATTGTTATAGAATTTACAGCTCGTTTAATACAACTTGATCAATCAAAATAAAAACACCTTACCTGGTGCAATGATTACTATTAGTTGATTACTTATTTCATGTAACATATCTACTATCACACATACAAACAATTACATTGCCATTGACATTAATACACTTTTTTCTCCCTTTTATCCATAATATGACCATCCCCCTCTTTCATCCATAATACCTCACAACTTAGAATAACCTGAGCATAAATATCTATATCTCACAGAATGTCATTTGTATACTGGCAGAAATTTCATGTTTCAAATTGCAGTAATGTTATCTCCATTAGCCTCAGATCCACATATTCAGATTTAATAATAAAATCATACTGATGTAAACAACCGATAACCATTTATTGCCCCACTTGGTGAGTCGGAATGAGCCACAGTGTTGGGGTACCAAACAGTGGCCGGACTCGGGGGTCTTGCCACAGCACGTGGTGCTACACTCAATCACAGCTCAATTTCGTCTGTCAGTTATATTATCTTCTCTCCTTTGCCTTTCAGGCCCATTCACGTCAGATATTTGAGGAATTAATTGTTAAATAAGGCAAGAAATCTAACTGCTGTCCCTTTGCCTCTAAAATCTCATTTGCTTTGATTAATTTTCTTAATCAGCCAATATCCATGGCACCTGCCATCAGGCCTTCATTGGATAGGTATTCTCTTTGTTTGATTTGCCTGGGAAGTGGTGTGCTTGGCCCTGGGAGATGCTGCAGTTTCATACTGGGACCTAAAAGTATAACTGTATTCTATCATAAACAATGCTTCAGACATTTCTCCAGTCTGTGACGTTAATATAAAAACACCAGTAAAATAAAAACAGGTCATTAATTTTTTTAAAGATTTGACTTTTAATGGGCCTCTATTTTCAGGCCTGTAGCCAGGGGGGGTGGGGGGTGGGGGGTTCAAAGAAACCCCCTTCTTGCTGGGTAAAGGTATACATATATATTTGAAAGAAGTTTTGTTGTAAAATGGGGTTTCAAAGTAAGTTTTGTTGATTGAAAATTAACCATTAAATAGAATGGATAATAAATTTCCCTTTAGCTGGAAGATGTTTGGAGACTGGTCAGAAAGAGCAGCCAGGAAATATGGCAAAGAAAATAAAGTGATTAATGCAGGAACTGGAAAAAAAGGTTTGTGAAGAGGACCAACTTACTGCCCAACAGACTGCAATATTCTTTTCATGTTTATCTACCTTAAACAACTATGTCTATGTACAGTTGTAGGACACCAATAACCTGACAGATAAAGTTTATGTCAGCCATGAAGTAACAAGAAGATCCCTCATTAGAAAGCACAGCAATTTACTGGAGCTTCATTAAAAGGCGATTAAAGCTTTTGCTTTTTGATTAACTTTTTTATTACAAGGAGCTTTTTTCTATTTCATTTTATAGAAGATAATCATGAATGCAAACTTTAAATGAACATAAGATCTTACTGAAATGCTGATATTGGATATAAATATTTAAAATATTTTTAATTTGTAGCAATTTATGTTCCTGGTCCTGAATAGTGCAAAATAATTCAGGATGTATGATATCATATCAGAAGTTCTTGGCACATATTTTTTTTCTTTTTTCTTATGAAGGGGAATCAATTAATTGGATTAGTTAAAGTTGTATTGCTCTGATGTGTTTGTTTAATGAAATGTTGTTTTTTTTACTTTAGTTTAAAAAAATCACTTCAATTTTCATGTGTCAAGACTTTGCATGTGTCTTATTCCTTTGCATGTGTCTTATTTTTATGGGAATGACAGTAAGAATGACTTCCAGCTATTAAGTTGCTAGTAATCATCAATCATCAAGTGCTACATTCCCAAATAATTTGCCTATTTATACTTAAACCTTCACCTTGCTGCTTTTTTCTGGTACTTAAAAAAAATGGTACTTAACATTTTACAAATGTATAGAATCCTCATCATTTACAGGATGAATTCCAAGAAAATATTGAAATAAATTTCCATAGTTTCCATAACGAAGTGGACCGTTTTGCATGACAACTCCTAAATCAGCTACTCTGCTGACATGATCTCATTTACTATGGATGGAAAATCTATTAAAATAGGGAAGTTCTATTTCAAAGTACAGAACACAATGACCTACTGTGTCTAGATGTTCAATTTCAGTCTGTGGTGGCATGGAGACGAAGCCCCGGACATCTCTGTCAGCGTCGGCCTTCATGGCTTGGATGGTCTCCAGCAGCAGCTGGTGATGTGGGTTGGTGTAACTGGTGAAATAGTCTGAAAGAAAAATTATTTATTTGTGACTCCATTTTACCCTTATCTAAAAACACAGTGTCTGGTCCATTTGTCAATGAATGTAAAATAAGTTAATAATTATATCAAGTAAGTGGTGTAACTGGGGGGTGGTGTAACTGGTGAAATAGTCTGAAATAGCAATTAGACCATAATACCTGGTCCATTTGAATGTAAAATGAGTTTATAATTATATTATATTAAATAGGCCATAATTTATCAGGGATGAGGGAGAATTTAACTCTTAAATATATGCCATACACTGCAAAAAAGTTAGCAAGGGGGGTGGGGCAGAAAATCAAGAAACCGTAAAGAGATAACAACTGCTATAGTCAAAGTTGATCTGTATATCTAAAACTGATATTTAGCAAACAAGCAGTTTTATGAAAACCATTTAACCGGAGAAGGCTTTGTGACACATACACATGCTTGTCATTTGACACAACTTTTCAAAGTTAACATGGGAGGAGAAAGGAAGAAGATCGGGGAGGGGGGGGGGGGGGGGGGGGGGACAAAGAGATTCTTACCAACAGGTATCACAAACTGCGACAGTGCTTTTCCCAATGCCAAGCGAACATTGGGAATTGGATCCTTTGCTAGGCTAAGAAGCGCTGGCATCCAGCTGATGGCAAACTGTTCAGCAGAGCAGGAGTTTTCTTGGAGAATGTGGTAACACAAATGTGCATAGCTGAAAGATGGAAACATTTAATAAGAACTGAGAGCTTTGATACAAAGAAACTAGTATGTCATTATCACCGTGATCTTGTTACATTTTCCTTTCCTCATATGACCAATGTTATGTTTCTTTAGAAAACATGGTTTGTTTTGATATCATATTATCATTAGTCACATTCTTCATTTTTTAATATTTTGAGCAAGTAATCTTATTGAATATTAGTATACTTATATGTTCACAAAAGTGATTCTGTTGACAAAAAAAAAAAATACTACCATTGTAACACGCTTTAATAACCAATGCAATGCCTCCGTTCAGTCTGCCCAATTTTCAAAACAAAAATACTCTCTAAATATTTTCTACATTCTACCATTTCCAGATAATGAACATTTTAATCAAAAATTTTTGATTTTAAAATCACTCACGTCTGCCTCCTGTACCATTTGTCACTGTGAGCAAACTTGTCTAAGGCAGTGGCTAAGAAGCTCTGGGACACATTCTCCTCGCCACTCTCGTTAAAACACCTCAAAATCACAGCCAACTGGAAAAGAACAGAGTAGTCGTTTTTAACAATGGCTAGACACTACTAGACAGAATCGTTTAAAAAACTCTTCAAAATTGCAGCCAACTAGAAGAGAACAGAGTATTAATTTTTTAACACAGGCTGATGACACTATTAGACAGAATTCTTTTAAAAAACTCTTCAAAATTACAGCCAACAAGAAGAGAACAGAGTGATCGTTTTATCACAGGCATTTGTTATACCTATAATATATGATGGGAGTCATCACAAAGCTGATGATACTGTTAGACATAATCATTTCCAACTGTTTTAGTATTTAGTGAACTCACAAAGTCTGAAAATAATTGTTATTTTGCCTTGAAATATCTTGCCGAAACAGAAAGTGAAATTGAACTGAAAACTTGCCATTTTCCTAATTTACAAGTTTATTTCTCATATATTTTATCATGCACAGTGCAAGCACACATGTTCAAAGTGTTCGACACAAAACACAGCAACACCAGATTTGTGTGTCTGGGAGCACATTCAAAGCAGCGGATAAACAGATCACTTGAATACTTGTTGCGTAATTCCCACAGGGAATCTATTCAGTGCCCAATCGGGTATTAAGCGGCAAGTTTTTTTCATGGGTCGCCATATTTGATTCATGGATCTGTAAGTCAGCTGTTCTAAATGCACTCTTTGAACACGTGTGCTCATATAGTGCATAATAAAACATATGAGAAATAAACATTTGGTGGTCATATATGAAGCAATGGCATCAATGGAAATACTCACATCTTTGAGTGCTATGCTGCGGACCTCCGCCACCCTGTCTTCCGCCAGAGTGAGAGCAATGGGCAAAATATGCCGGCTCAACTCATCACAGGAGAACAACTCACACAGTGAGACTAGTTGTCTGGAAGTGGAAAACGGTTTTATCATTAATAAAATCATCCACAGAGCCATATAATGCACACAAATAAGCCTGCTCAATCCTTTACTTGTTCAAATTAGACAGAAGTATTTAAAGTACCTTTAAGAATATTTCACATTGCAGCTGTAGTCTAAATATTTTATACTATCCACATAAAAACTAAGATGGACCACTCAAATTAAAGAATAACCACTGTGTGATTTCCGTATATTTATAATACAGGTCTCCATATGCAGATGGAGTGAAAATTTGCCCCTTGGATTTAAGCTTCGCAATACTTAATTTCCTGAATTTGAGGATTAATATAAATGTTCATCATCTTACTGTCCCAACTCTTCTCTGAACCTCCAGTTTCTAGAGTTGTCTGTGGTCAGGAACTCGGCCACCTTGGGGAGATACATGGATCTGGTGCTAGGGTTCAGCAACTGAAATATAGTACAAGTCATATCATGTCATTCGAATTATAGGTTAGAAGCACAGAGTAGTACTCTCCATAATAAGTGGTGTTCTCCTTGACAATCAGACGAGAGAGAGAGAGAGAGAGAGAGAGAGAGAGAGAGAGAGAGAGAGTTGCAGAGATGAATAAAACTGCATCAAACTCCTAAACCAGTTTCATAGGGCCCCCTAATTAATTTTTTCCAAGGTTTGATACCACCCAGGACAAGTCAGTGACACCCACCTTGAGGAAGTCTGCCAGGTGCGTCAGCACTCCTACTCGCACCTCGTCCAAGTCCTTCAGGAAGCCGTCAAACACGGGCACCAAGTCCTTCTCCGTCACTTCAGGCCCCATGATGGTCGCCAGCTCGTGTATGGAAAATGCTAGCGTGCGGCGCACTTTCCACTAAAATATATTACGGTAATTCTCCAATCTATACGAACGATTTAAATTAATTATTTTTGGAAGATAATCATTTTGTTCGTAAGACTTGAAATTCAGTCTGCTAAAAATTGCCACGCGTTCGTATCCATTGAAAAACGAATGGAATACGTCTGTACCGGAAGTTATCTCCACTTACCTACATTGCTAANCCGTATGAATTATGGTCTAAAGTATGTTTCATTAAGACTGCAATTTTACTTGTTATAAAAGCAAAGATTCCCAAACATATTCTAGGCATGACAGACATACTAGCACTGTGTACCTGAATAGAAAATGCTAGCATATGACGCATTTTCCACTAAAATGTATAATGTATTTATCGTTTACAGTATATTTCATTAAGATTGCAATATACTTGTTATATGACACAGATACACATGACAATATATTACATTAAGTACAAACCTGAATATTCTGTGACAGTTGGTCATACAAATCTTTGAGACAGGGCCAGTGTTCTCTGCCTAGTGTGTAAGCCACAGCCGGGAAGCTGTATGCACAATGCCGTGCTATTTCAGAATCCACAGTTTGGGCCTGGGCAGCATCAGTCATGCTAAGGTAGTTATCCAGCAGAATCTGGGGGATCACGTCCTGAGGATATTCCATGTCACAAGGTCATGTTTGCATTCATTTTCAATTTCACATCGGCTAAATGAACACTCCAAATTGCAAGTGACCCTTAACTGTTTGCTAAATGACCACATACTTATCTTCCACTAAAATTGAGGAATGAGACTGCTATTTAGTGGAAACATTGGAATGTATGGCGTGTGGGCCAGGGGGACACTAAGGTTATTGATATTTTTGGCTCCCCCAAAAGTCTGAAATCCCCCAATAATCAGAAAAATCCCATCCCTGATAATTGTTTAAAAATTGCCTGGCCCCTGTTTCACAATAAAAGAAAAAAAACTTTAAAAAACTTAAGTCAGGTTCCCTGGCTAAGAACTTAACTGCCAAGGTTACATAGTCACATATTACCCTATCAGGAGCAATGTCACAGCACTCTCATGGAAATCCTAGTCAACCGAGCCAGAGAACTGACATAGAAATTTTTTTTTTTTTTTGTGAAACTGGGCTCTGGTGAAGAAGGAAGGTAATCAGGGGACTTACCTGCAGTTTGGTAATGGTATTCCCTGTAGAGCTGGTGGACCCCCTGTGGGCCATTTCCATCCCCGAGAACGTGTGAGTGAACGAGGGCACCCCACCCTCACCTCCGTACATACCACTGGGCGAATTCACATCTGGAAATTTTTGATAAAAAATGTGCAATATTAAATTAACCACCAAGTGCTAGCTGTTAAACATATTCATATGCAAATGATGCCGAGCTCTACAGCTTACATTTGCAAACAACCAATGTAACAGACTTTTCATTAAAAATCATGGTCTTGCCAAGAACTGTATCCTTTACAAATGACATCACTTCATTTTAATAAACAATCTTGCCCAGCATGCAGAATTCTTGATGGGTTAGTACGTGAAAATCAGCATACAGCAAATTACTGAGACTGAGTAATCTTTGAGCAAAGCAAGTTTTTATATTATGTGCTGTGGTCTAATGTCAAAGGTCTTGGAAGACCCATACTGTATAGATAGGTTACAAAAGACTAACAAAAGATGAAGGCACTTCCAACTAAAACAGCTATTAGAGAAACAAGAGGATGAGCAACAGCCCTTGCAATAATTACATGGAGTGGTGGGTATGTGCCGTATTGATATTGTTATGATGGGTTTAAGAACTAAATTTTATGATAAATCATCATTCTGAGTTATTTCACAAGTTTATAAGCGTTCTATTATTTATGGAACAAATCAAATAATGAAATATACTTTTAGGCATTCCTGCTGAATTTTAACATCTTTTTCCATTGAATGAAATCCATTAAAAATGAAAATTAAAAAAATACTGATTTAGAATAGAGTACAGATCTTGGGCAAATGAATCGATTTTCCTGAAACATCATACTTTTCATTTTAAAATTTGTATGATGGCAATAAAATGTATCAATAAATGCAGTAAAGGAACAAAAAAAAATAAAATAAAATTTGCTATTCTTATCCAGAATTGCAAAATCCTGGAAAAGGGCATTTCTGAATATAGGATTCCATATATATGAATTCATGTAAAGGAGGACACTGGCCTAAACAACCAGAAATGTCCAAACACATAACTGTCTGATCATAAAAAAGGGGGAAGAAATTTTCCAACTCTTCAAACTGGGTGGGGAGTGGGGTTTGGGGTGGGGGGGGACCTTCATTGGACAACGTTTACCTACTGTACCTTGCACCACACCATTGATCACAGCCATCGTGGACTCGTTCAAATTCTGACCAATCACGTGCATGCTGCCGATATAGTCGGTTTCCTCTGGTTCCTCGGCACTCACCAAGTTAACACTCGCAGTATGGATTTTCACCTCACCTTCGTCAGAGAGCTCCAAGTCTCCGTCTCCGGAAGAAGAGGGTGTTGGCGAGCTATCGACCTCAACGTCCATTTTTGAGGAGAACACTTTATGCTGGACTGGGTCCACCACTTTTGCCGTCACGTGAATATTTGTAGCTTTACCTTCAACAATATCCAAGTGTAAATCTAACTGGGGTAAAGGCGTCCGCCAGTAATTAAAACTGGAGAAGGCGGCCATATTGTCCAAATGAATGTGCGTTGCCCCTGAGGCACTGGTGGTTGATTCCTGACTCTGAAAACCTTGTTCGCTTGGTGTATCACAGGCGTTAATGACGTCATCGGAATCGGGATCTGATGACTGAGGCACACTGGGATGAGACTGCTTCCACTTTTCGGCACGCTTTTCTTCGACGGAAAGCACGTCATTATGCTTATCGATACCATCTCCACTGCCGTTCTCTTCACTTAAACTACTCGCCTCAATTTCCATAGCAAGGTTATTTATGTAATCTTCTATAGATAAAATATCATTCTGACTATTGTCAATAGCTTCTTCAGCCGTGGAACCACTCTTATCAGACACCGATTCTGTCACCTGCCTAGAATCCTGAACGCTGTCGGTGTCATTTGTACTAGTCCTTGCATTATTACTGTTACTGCCTATTTGTTGTTCTTGATGCTGAATTGTGTTGTTTGGAATTTCAGGAGTCTTCACCTCCTGCTCTTTGTCACCCTCTTTGGTCCCCTCTGGATTTCCTTCTTCTCCCTTCTTCTCTCCATCACTTTTGTTGTTGTTTGCCTCTTCTGTTGTTGGAGATTTGGTGCTGCAAAAAATGAAGCGCAATTCTCATTTCTAATCAATTTTTCTTGTAGCATTCAAGCTCATCTAAGCAAAACAACATGCTGACTAGGAGTCAGTAAATTCTAGAATCAATAACAATATGAAAAGCAAAATGACTACCTCAAACTGCTTTAATGTCAGAAAGAAAAAAAAAACGTAAGTTCAGTAATTATTGTACAACTAATATAAAGGAAATCTCACTTGTTTTTCTGTGGCGCCACCTGTCCGACCGATAAGACACCATCTTCATTGAAGTAGAGCCCAGTGATGCTGGGATCAGCAAAAGTGGAGATGAAGGGACCTAGAGCCTGGAAAGCTGCCATACGCACCTAGATAAGAAAAAACAAAAACATGTTTTATCAGAGGACATTTGGGTTTAGTGAAGGGTGACATGAGTGAAAACGGCAACTGATCAAAATCAGGTTGTCTGATATAATGTGGTACCAGGCGGCTGATCTGTAAGTTGGTCTTTGGTTTATGAACAGTTCAGATTGGAAGGGGTTTATTTTAACTCAATTCTACCTGGACCTTCAAATTAAACCAAGATCTCTTTCTTCAATTAATTTTATTCCATAAACAAAACAAATTTTGGCCATTGTAACCACAGCATCACTAGAGACAATAAGGATTTTGATTTTGAAATGCCAAACATGTACCAACTTCACAAACAAAATAAACTTTAAAGATGCATACAAAGTCAATTTTTTGTCACAAAAACCAACCAAATGCCAGCATATGGCTTCAAGTAGTATAACTAAGAGAATTACCAAAAGGCATTATTTAATTTTACCCGAAAATGATGTTTGAACGGATTTTTCTGCTGCCATTCTAAGCTGTATGTCAATGGGGTAGGAAAGTAAGTCACGAAAGTAGGTTAAATTTACAACCATAAATTTAAAGAAAGGAGCAGTCTAAAGGTCTTTTATGGCTGATTGAGTGCTCTATTCAGTTTATCCCTTGGCATGTCGAATTTATTTGAGTCATATAAGAATCTAGTAGAAGTGGTTTACGTGTGTTACTGGGAATCCACGCTCCACCGATGCTCGGTTCGTATGTACCTTTAAAAATTAATGCAGTACTTACCCATCTAGATTGATCACATAATAAGTTAATGAACAGCCCAGCTAGTTCTTTCTTGCGACATTCTTGTGAGCACGCACACGAAACGGCCGTGAAACACTCTGCACATGCTTTCCGGACATTCCACACTCCATCTTCACAAAGGTAATGGAATTTTGGCAACTGTAAACACATAATTACAGAAGTAAATAAATAAATACATATTTTTATACATATAGCTGTGATCACTGTTACGTTGCACTAGTACTCCTGTCAATTGTATCCTATCAATGGGCATTATAACTAAAGCGAGTATAACTCGTGGTCACCTTTGGTGACAACTGTGGACAAAAATAAAGGAGCCCGGATGTGGAGGTTTTTGGACACACCCACTGAGATAGGAAGGAAAGAGAGACATGTAGGCGTGGAGAGCAAGGAGCTAGGATAGATGGACTACGTCTTAACTGATCGTGGATGTATAGTACTATACATGGAGGTAAAGGAAAGTGAGTGACTGTACGTGTACTAGTACACAAGTTGATGGAAAATATGGAAGCTTGAAAAAGCGAGTGATTGTACATGCATCAGTACACAAGTTGACTGAAAACAGAGAGGGAACTATGATTGACAAAAGATAAGTAACGTTGAGAAAAAGCATTGACTATTACGAACAACGCAAGGAAGGTATGTAGGCCTACACAAATGAACAATGACAATGAAATGGAAGTGCGTGGAATGACTCTCTTATCCTGTGAACACTAACTTTGCTTGAACATTATAAAGCCCATATTCGTTAAGTTATTTAGTTCAATGTTATTGTATGTTTAGTTAGGTTTTAGTTCAATTAGTAAAATATTATCATTTTAATTTGAGGTGTTTGTTTTCATTCGTATTTATGTTTATGCTTTATTTTTTTGTTACTAAAGAACTCAATATAGGACGTAACATCACTACAAAATATTTCATTGCATATGTTGTGTTATAAACTAGCACTAATAATTTACATTAATTGCCAGCCATTTACTCTTTCTTTGAACGTATCTGTAATAGGCTGTACCATTCCCCTGAAGAACACTGTTGTCATAAGATAAGATACAACAAACTAAGCAACATTTATCAGTTGACAAGAATGAAAGGGGGAATTGGGGGGGGGGGGAGAAGAGAGAGAGAGAGTGTGTACAAGAGGAAAAATATTATACATACCAAATGCTTTTCCGTAGCCGCGGTGCCAACAACACTGCACATTTCACCAAAGTTAGCTGCACAGACCTGAAGCACATATAATATACATATTACACATATACATATTACACATATACATATACAATATTATCAAGAAAACAAATCAGACACCAAAGCCTGAACAAATACACACATGGGACAACTTTAACATTCACAATTATTTCTATATCCAAACAACCAGGATTAACAACTTCACCACAGCATACTCCCAATATAGGCTAATTCAAGAGTTTTCCCAGCAAACCGTCCAGCTGTCACTTGGACGGCCTCCAGCATCACCAACCGGCCTATATTTTCAAAGACGGCTGGACGGCTTATGGTTTTTTGGACATATGAAGGCTTTAGGCACACCTGGACTCCCCAAAATTTTGTAGGAAATGAAAGGTAGTAATTTTAGGCGCCCTGCATCCCCAATCCTGGGAAAAGCCCAGGGCTTATCATTACCTGATTACTATCTACAGATGTCGCATTCATAAACACCTTAAATTTCCACATACATGTTTTCTGTTAATACCACAGCTAGAAGATATCTGCTGCTGTCTTACCTTTCTGATGTGAAACAAAGGGTCTGTGCAGAGAACCACAAATCTGGGTAAAAACAACCTTTCTGCCATGTCGCTCCCCACCAGAGGTGTCATCTTGCTCATCAACTAGAAAATAAATGCAAAATAAGTAGTTTAACTGATACAGTTTTTAGATCCATCCGAGGTGACCAGAATATGGCTTAATGACAGATTTCTTGTTGTTGAATGGTGGGAAACTAGTCTCTTTTGAACACCTGTTCTCATAAGACTCTTAACTCCAGCTTTTTGACCAATTTGTAAACCCATTTTCAAAATATAATTCATGTCAAAAATATAATTAAAATTTTATCACATCAATTATATGCACTGCCCAAGTTGTATGAAAATCATCAGATTCATCGGCTAAGTATCAAAGTTTTCTTCATGTGTGATAATTTCAGTGCTGAGGAAAGCAGCCAATAGCTCATCAAAGCAGGCTGTGATATGATATCACTAAGACACATCACAACCCCTCTAATGGCTATGGGAAGCAAATACTTCAAAACAAAATTCTTGAAGAGCTGGTGGTTTTTCCTAGAATTATTTGGACTGGTTCTCCTCTTATGTCAATATTTTCACCAAAATTTTGGGTTGGAGTTCATTTGCATGAAAACTTAGGCTGTGTCTGAGCCAAATATTTCTTTAATATCGATCAGATTTTCATTAATCATGCAAAAAAAACAGACTATGATAGAGATATAAGCTGTAAAAGTATTCTCCAAATATCAATTTAGCAACTTAAAGACATTATTGTGGAAAGATTATGAAGTATCAAGTGTCGGCTGAAAGAGCTCATTATATATGTGATCATATTCCATTTCAGTGCAACCAGATATTGAGCTCTTAAGTATATTTCTATAAAATCAAGAACAATAATTGATCCCATTTCCAAGGTTTTCATGTGACGAGGGGAAACTTGTAAAAACTTAACAGCAATGACACTGGAAATACAGAAATAATTTAAATTTACAGACACAAAAGTGGCAACATTAATTAAATATGTTAATCATGATGCTTCAGAACAATCACAAAATCCGTGGTCTTAGGGACTGGATGTTATACCAGAGACAATCACAGAGTCAGCATGGTAAAACAGCTCATCAAAGCAGGCTGTGATATGACAGAAAACAACATAACACAGGAAGCTCTGAGGGCTGGTCTCCCACAATAGATGGCAGCACGTTCCAAGGTACAGCAGTTCATATGAACAGTCCACAGAAGGTTGAAAATTAAAGACACTAGATTCCTTCTTAGGAATATCCTATCTTTTAGAAATTTCCACAGATATTTAATAACAAACTAGCTCTGAATAGCAATTCTCTTCCAAAGCAGGACTCCATGACCATAATTACTTCTGTATCAATGTTATGGGAAACTATTCACCAAATCCCATCACAAGCAGAGCCAGTGGCAGTCGTCTGGTGTTGTGTATAGCTCATCAAAGCAGGCTGTGATAGGAAAGCTAGCACACCCTGTCACAACCACTTTGACCAGCCACACAACACACTTGTCTCATCTCAACTAACACATTCCTTACATATGACACATCCAGGGGCGACTCTATGCAAGATCGCCGATATTTACAGCACGTTCAAATTTGATCTAAGAGAAAATTTTCCATAACTTAAGCTCCCAAAGTCTGTAACATTGGACCAGGTATAACAAAAGAAAAGACATCAATTCTTCATTCAATCATTCCGATAGTGAATACCACATATACTAGACTCTACAACGGTCAAAGTCAAAATAAGTGGCGATGTTCAAGAAGTTCATTCCATCATTCTAGCCAGTTTAAGTGAGAGCATCATGGTGACATTCATGCAAAAAAAGTTGCAGTGATGTTAACGAACCAGGCAATTGTGACCATGACAACTTGTATTAATATGCAAACCCTGGTGTCTTGTTAGGCAGGCAGTGAGTTATGGTGAAGTGTGAAGATAGAAGCAGTCTGATCCAAGCAGGCTGTGATACGCTGTCACTGACACATACCACTGCCACTTAGACCAAACCACAGTCATCATGTGCACCAACAGCCAGGTGGAGCCACCAGCTTGGACCAAACCAGAGTCATCATGTGCACCAACAGCCAGGTGGAGCCACCAGCTCAGACCAAACCACAGTCATCATGTACACCGAGAGAAAGGTGGAGCCACCAGCTTGCCTTGCTCAAATCAGTATCATTTCAAGACTCGCTTCTTAGTCATCAACCAGGTGGAGCAACAAACTTACTTTCTAAATCATTTAAAAATGCACTGCTTTCTTAGTTAATGTTATTTTCCTTTTCCTTAAGTTTCTTTTTTGACATGTTGGCAAAAGCTGGCTGCCTAAAGCAAAATACTATGATTAGTCCATGAAAGCCTCTTTCCAATGTGCACATAATTGCATGCTGTTCTTTGCATAAAACCTGCAAAACCTCCATTCTCCTAACACCCCTTTAACAGATAACATAGGGAGTTATATTGGATAAAAATTTGGCTGTCATGGTTTTCCTTCTGAGGAAAACTAAGGTGTAGACTCTGAGGCTTCATCTGGCTCATCAAAACTGGCTGTGATAGCATTGATACATGCACTACAACATACCAGGATTGACGCCCAGAGAAAACCAACAACACAAAGTAACATTATTCTGGGTCAGATAAATACTTGAAAAGTGTACTCAAAGTAAGTGGGAGAGAAAATACAATAAAGGTATTAATTTATCTCATTGCCCATCCAGAGCAGAAATTCTTTAACTAAGGGTTTTCTGACTGAACTTGACATTACAATTTGATAATGCCTTAAAATTGTAAGAATTTGTCAAGAGATACGAAAGATTATAGTAAACCTCAGGTTTGACACAAAATCCCTCCATACAACCAAACTAACATAAATTGCTCTTCCTAATCTTCATAAAAAAAATAAGTGCCCACAACCCCCTTTTTCCCAAAAATTTTCAGAGATGGCTCACGATGCCTCTCCTGCATGTACAGATCTCTTCCTGCACCTCTTACCTTCCCTGCCAGGCAGTCTGCATCTTGTGTCATCTCCATGCAAAAGACACGGTAGTGAGGTACACAAGTACAGCATCTCACTACCCATGTCTTTCACACAGAAATAACATACGCTGTTTTTTTAATATGGTGGCCATCTCCCATGCCTCCTCAGCGGTGACACATACATCATCTTTTTAATATAGTGGCCGTCTCCTATGCCTCCTCAGCGGTGACTTTCAGGTCATCTTATTTAAATAACTATCTTAGATTGTCAAACTCAGCTTGCATTTTAACAAAACAAAACCTCAAAGAAAACCTAAAATAAAATACAGATGTAGTTTTGAATGAGTGCCTTTTGAGTTTCACTTTCATCCTCTATGGCCTTGACCTTTTATGTCATGTGACCCTCTCATGGCCTGCTAATACTTACAGCCACTGCCTCAGTCCTATGTTCGTCAATACTATGTGGTCCAGTCAACTCTAGGATAACTGGGCAGACTTGCTCTTCTACATCCTCTGCAATGCAAATTTGAATCAACATATATATCTTTCTCCAGAGAGCCATTCAGCCAACATTTGGCCAGCCATTAGCCTCAAAGGACAGCCTATATTTCTAGAGATGGCTGAATGGCTGACAAATTTTTGGGGAAATGATGGGTTGGTTGGTTGGGCTTGCTTGGGTTGGACTCCCTGTAAATTGATGACAAAGTTACCGATTCACATTTTGAACTCGCTGTACCCCAAATTCTGAAAAAACACTGATCCAAAGTAGCACGTACTACAGCTTTTGAAAGAGTTGAATTGTCAAAAACATTTATAAATCAAATACTGACTGTGTGAATGTAACAAACTTTGAAACAATCAGACCCTATCTTTAAATAGAAATTTGTTTAAATGGAAGGAAAATGTGACTACAGGGTACTGAATCCTACTTTATACCAGATTATCCTTTTTCAAAAATATTTGTAAGTTGTACAAACCTCTTTCCACCAGCTCTTGCTCCAGTAGTACCAGTAATGCTGCTTGGCTCGTCTTCCTTACCTGTTCAAATATACAGACACATAACATGAGTTCTCTACTAGTATATATCTAATACAATTCATGCCACAGTTTTTCTGCCTACATGTGAAACTTTATCATGTAGGTAAACATGTAAGATTATATGCATATCTAAGTCATAATGGTTACCAATCACAAAACTTGTTTCACTTTCAGACATGAAAAAGAAAGCATCCCTTTGCCTTGAGGTTTTCTATCATATACCAAAAGATAAAATTCAAATTAATTTGAAATGTTGCTGTTCTATATGAACACGACTTCTGCCACATCCATTTATCTGTTAATGTTTCCATTTTTATGGAGTATAAATAAATTGACAAGTTCCAAAAACAGAACCAATGCCAAAAATAAACTTTTTTTCCCCCTAAACAACACTGTAACTTTCTGCATAACAAAAAGGTTCTAAAAACATTTTCTCGGGTTGATGAGATCTCTTCTCTAAGCCTCTAAAAATACACATCAGTGACCCGATTTGGCATTGTCCTTATGGAATATTAAAATAACACTGAAAAAACATCTTGTCATACATAGCTCACAGGCAGAAAACATATATGTACTGTTATTCTAGTTCATATAAATGCTATAATTACACTTACAGCTGAGGAGAAAACACGTTCCACCTGAATTTCTTCCTTTCAACAAAATACAAGCAAATCCTCAAGAAGGCAGTAAAATAGTCAGGAAGAAATAGAAGGTGACGCTTACCTGTCTGTCCATGTCCAGTTCCCAATTTCACAAAAAGATTTAAGTCAATTTCCCTAGCTAAAAACTTCATTACCAAGGTTACTTGGTCACATGGGCATATATTATCCTATCAGGAGCAGTGTAACAGCACTCTCATGGAAATCCTAGTCAACTAAGCCAAGGAACTGACTTCACATTTCATGTAAAACTGGGGCCAGGAGGCACCACGTGTCACCTACCTGTCCATTTGTATCCAGGTGGCACCACGTGTCACCTACCTGTCCATTTGTATCCATGAGGTACCGCACCACCATGGGCATCAGGTACATGGGTACCGTGTCCTTCAGTGGCGTTATGTGGCGATTCTCCTGGCAGAACATGGCAATGTGGGGCACCTGCTCCATCAGCTCCGACCTCACTGTGGGCTCTGGGGAATAACAAAAAAATTTAAGTTATACTGACATCAAGGGTTTTCCCTGGTTTTCCCAGCAAAATGTCCAGCAGTCATTTGGACAGCTGCCAGCATCACAGGACGTCCTTTGTTTTCAAAGACAGCTTATGGATTTTTTTTGGAAATCTTACAGCTTTAGGCATACTTGGACTGCCTGAAATTTTGTAAGCAATTACCGGTTGTAATTTTGAATGGCCTGTACCCCCAAAAGCCTTGACTAACATGTGATAAATACACAGAAGCGTTCTGAAGGCTCAGTGCTTCTGCCATATTTCTTGTTCCCCTTCCCCCAAGTCTAATTTTCAGAAACGCATTAACTTGAAAGTCCTGGACGGCTCTCTCTCACCCAAATTTACATATAAATGTGTTTACAGCAGCTCTTACCAGGATCCTCAGATAACTGTATCATAATCTGCAGCAGTTTGGTGATGTCGTCCCCCGTCTCCGCCACCTGACGCAGGGTGTCCAGCAACCCCCGTGCCACCATCTGTCTGGAAATACAGAGAAACAGTTGTCTTGAACATCATCATTATCAAGTGCTCAAGAAAGTGAAATCAAACTAAAATAGCTTTTAACCATCAGCAGTGCGTATTTTTAATAAGCAAAATGGATTTAAGTTATTCTATTGTATTTTATTTTACTGACAGATCATATCAATTTTCATTGTATACTTTTATGTAGAAATATGACAAAAAATTATCATCATCATCATCATCATCATCCTTCGCCCTTGGAAAGGAAGCAGCAGCAGCAACGTTTTGCCAGAGTTGTCTCTCTCTTATTATTGAAAGGATCGCACTTGTTTTGCAACCCAGTATCATTGATGTTGGTGCCAGAGCAAGTTACGTTTAGTCTGCCTCTGTTAGCTTTTCCCAAGGCGGCATCCAAAATATAAAATTTTGTCTTAAACACTATGCCTCAACTCTTCCTTTATGTAATTTAAAGATTCCAATTTCTATTTTTGTTTAAGCTCAAAACATCTACTAGTGCTGCCATAGGTAATTCACAAATGACGCATTTCTTATGCAGTATGAAGAAACAAATACGCTATTCTCTTATCAGTTTATCAGATGAGCTTTTCTTTCCGCCATCAGGCCACCTGTTGTGATACAACTTTTCCATGATCTGATCTTAAAACTATCCCACAATGTATTTTGTTCCTCCATTTATTTATATTCTTTGTAGGAGAGAGAGAGAGAGAGAGAGAGAGAGAGGAATGAGTTTCATCTCATCTAACACTTATGTGCTGTTATTATTATTATGCAGAGCTGGTGAACAATTATCATATTTCCAGAGCAAACTGAACTCAAATTACTCCTGTTTTTTGTTTAAAATTAAGTTTGCATTAAAGCTAAAAATACTTTTGGGGTTAAACAAGTATTCACTGTTATAAATAGAAGTTGCATGTTGAATTACTTTTTTCTTTTGACCTTTAAAAATTTTCAACAAACCTCCCAGAGAGAGAGAGAGAGAGAGAGAGAGAGAGAGAGAGAGAGAAGAAAAAAAGTAAAAGAAAAAGAAGAGGAGGAAGAAGAAAATCTACCCCCTTTCTTTATATAAACTCTAAAACACTCTGGTCCAAAAACTTAAGTCTACAAGTCTTTCAAGACCCAACGCAAATATCACTCACTAGACAGATTCTCAAAAAATTGACAAGAATTGGGCATGGGGCCAGTGTTAATGTCGCAGTTTGTCTTCGTGTCATCAACATGGAATCCAACATGTGATGAATCAAAACAATTATAAAAGACATTTCTAAAACAAGAGAGTATCTCATCCTATCAAAATATCAATTGCTGTATAAACATGCTTGTTGCTTAAATAAATCAAACAAGTTTTTTAAAAATAATGCAAATATTCTTATAGTACTGACCTTTGTGAGGGGAAACTGAACGCTATGTTCTGACAACTAAGCTATCTAAACATTCCACCAGTTGCTTGAAATCTCACAAAAATATCACTGTTTCCATAAATATTGACATGCTTAACCTTGGTTTCAAGCGTTTCCTGCTACACAACAATTTATAGACACAATGTCACACAGAATGTTCCAGTGTGTGTGTGTGTGTGTGTGTGGGGGGGGGGGGGGGTATAGTTAAACATCAAAATACACCCCTGAGGCTACCTTGCATATTACTGAAAACCTAGCCAAAAAAAAAAGATATTTTCCGAAACTAAAACTCACTTTCACAACAAAACTCCAGGGGTAAGAAGCACTTTCACACACATAAAAAAATTTTGCTAAAAAAAAGTCCCAACCTTGATAAATAATAGTTTGGTCCAATTCCTTCAGAATAAATATGAAATGGTCCATTAAAATAAGGCTATAACTGTGACAAAAACATTAACTGTTTCTTACTTTTTGTAAAAAAAAAAATCACCTAATATTCTCATTCAAGTAGGGTACTACAATTATATCCAAGATCAAAGGAGACTAAAAATTTCCACCAAAAATTTATAATCAACTCTCAACTTCAGCTTGTTTGTGAAACTTGTGCAGCACCTATGGTAAAAACTTGAAAATTTGGTTGGTCTCAAAAATTTTGTCAGAAGATAATTCTCTGCAAACATTTTTTTTTTTCACTTTGAAAACTACATCAAACTTTAAAATGTGCCTCTTGATAATTTTGGAAACTTGTCACCTGATATAGTCATGTTAAATTCATGCACTTTAAAAAATTAATTAATTTTCAAGTAACCAGATTTTCAAGTTTTTTTACCGTAAGCCACCATTTATGGTCAAGCTACATGACAAAATGACTCCCAAAGCAACATAATTCTCCTAAAGCTGCTGGGTAAGAAACGCCAACAGCCCAGACAACGTGCTGGTGTCACCAGCGCCATTTTATACTGTCATATCATTCACCTCGGACATGCCAATGTATAAATAAAATATCAAAGTCCTTTCCACTGCTGCATTCAACCATAGGGAGAATGGATGACAGCAGCATGTGAGGGTTTGAGTGTGCTCCATATCTAAAGCTTACTATGTAACATTCATGCAAAAATTTTTAATACTTACATTTAACCATTTAACAAAACGGCCTTAAATATCCGCAAAATGTTTAGAGACTGTCAGCATTGGAATGTGGAGCAATATCATTATATCCTTTACGAAAAAGGAACTAATAAATTGTAGACTGCGCAAGATAATAAAGAAGAACATCTTTTTCTACGGTTTCAGAATGCATAAACTAATAATTCTCAGTCATTTGCAATGGTTTTAAGCACATTTTAATCACTTCAGTGGTTAATGATTTTGACCCAACTTATGCCTGCGTAGAAGCCCTCTAACAGCAAATATTACAGCAGAGAGCTTAGACGTCAACGCCACTGGGATTCATCATTCTCTGCTGTGGACGGAGATCGACACTGGCACCAGTGACTTCAATATCTGCTTGATATCCCTCACCTTTCTCAGTATTAGAAACAATTTTTACAGGTTTCATAACAATAACATAAGTAAAAATCAAGATGTTGTCAGATAAGAAGAATTTACACTTCTAATTTTCTGAATACATTACTAGAATGCACATCTTAACCAACAACTAATAGTGAAATACTGAGTAACTGTATAATAGGGTGTAATTAATTAAGATAGAGCATGAATGCCTTTCTTTTAACTTTCCCCCTCTCTTATTTTGGCATTTCAGAAGCATCACATAGTAGTTATATTCAATTACCCTCAACAGAACTAAACTTTACCTCAGAATTCCAGGACCACGTAACTCGAAAACATCGCGCATTGCGAACGAGCACAAGCATCTCGATTCCACAGCTTGCCCTATATAATACATTGTAGCCCCTATGTGTTATCGCTATTCGCAATACACATTGTTTTCCAGTTATGGAGCCGAGTTTTCCTTTTTACAAAGTGTGTGTGTGTGTGTGTGTGTGTGTGTGTGTGTGTGTGTGTGTGTGTGTATATATATATATATATATATATATATTCAACAGCTGACTGCTTTCACAATATACTGCAGACTACAAATTTTACATGTTGAAATCAAGTTGAACGCATCCAACACTTGGTTTTTAGGATAATCTACATTTCCTTCCTCATTTGCACCTGGCATGATTTCATTTTCATTTCTTTCTTTCTTTTCTGTTTTTCAAATCAGACTTTCGACAAAAATCAAATATTTACAACAAGATATTTTCATAACCAAACATATTAGCACACTAATATGCCCCTCATACAAACCTTCTTTCTCTCCACACCAAATCATTCCATTCAATTCCTTCACATCTGAAGTGCTGGACGAAACTTATCTCTGTCTGGTATGAAATAGTCAAAATTTGTGGCCATAACCTTTCTTATGTCGAGGTCGTGTTGTTTTATTCTGAATGTAATTTTGAACAACAGTTTGAAGTCATAATGAAAACACAGGAGATGACAAGTGTTGGAGTCAAAACACCAGTTGAGTTTTCTTTGCCGACGTTCAGTGTTCACTGCACTGGAGACATGATGCACGACACGGATCATACAACACGGATCATATGTGGCACAGGGGAAGGTCTGCCAGAGTTGGTGTACAATCTGATGTTAGGTCAGACTAAATAGAGAAGATGTTTTTAAAACTAGTGGAACCGACTTTAATTTTGAAGAAATGAGAAAGATGAGCAGCACAGATCATATGTTGAAAGGGGGGGGGGGGGGGGGGGGAGTGTCAGTCGACACTCATGTACAATCTGATGTTAGACCAGACAAAACTGAGATGTTTAACAAGATTGGATTTCAGTCAACTTTAACTTTGAAGAAGTCAGAGTTTCTTTATATGCAGCTTTTTTTTCTGCATATAGATAAAAATGCTAGTTTGGTCATTAGGAAAAATTCACAGTTGACCCCAAAAAAAACGGTGTAGTTAAATCGTCATGCTCTAAAATGCCAGACTGTGGGTTTCACCCCACCCCATTTAGCTGTTATGCTTGTTAAGCATCATGTTTTTAATGCAAAAACAAAAATAAATTTCACCTACCAACTCTGTTTATAGAGTCGCTGCTCATTAACCAACTTATATACTTTTTGCCTGGACTTGCCAGTCTCCAAAAACACCATTTTACCTTTTTAAACTAAATTTCCTTTTTACAAATTTTACTTACATTGGTACTACCTATTGTGGATAATTACAATTTGATGTTGACTTTGCAGTTAAGCATAAAGTATTATTGCATCAGGATTGACAGTATCCTATATTTTTTTAAATATATGTCAATCATGTTATGAATGACGTAGAGTTCTTGCAATATAAAAAAATCAAATGTGCCAGGAGTTTTATTAAAAATCTGATGGTGCTGGTTTTGGAGCTTGTTCTGCATTTTAATCACAACATGAACCATCAGGCCAAACACAAAGAAGTACAATTACTCTTCACAAAATAATACAATTGTGCTCATTTTGCAAACTTGAACTTTTACATATCAAGTAAAATGGAAATATCATTTTGAAGTTATGGGGACAATGATACCCAAAAAAAACTTCATAATCACTATTATTTCTACATTATACATATATGAAATTCCAACTTTTATCCTTCATCTTGTTTGCTGACTTATAAACCGTGCCACTTAAAAATGATAGGTTTATCAAACAGGAGGAAAACATTTAAATACAGTAATCATAGTTCATGTATGGATTATTTTTTATCTACAGTTATGCACCTCAAGGTTATCAAAATGCTATCTCTCAACCAACATCAGAATCATTTGCCACATATGATTAAATTGGTGGTCAAGTTATCAGTGGTATTCATTCATATACTTCCAGGTAACATTTTAATTACTGTCACTCACAAGAGATAAGGGGAATTCGTGCCCGAGAATCAAAAGTGAACAGAACTTTTCACCACAGCCATGAGAAGAACAGTGTGCTACTATGTCATATGTCACATTTGCCAAAGTATTACAGTATTGCTCGTCGTTGAAAGGAAATGCACTAAATACCAATGACCAACTTTTAGGCTTAATTTTTTTCCTTTGAAACCAGATCCTGTTGACTCTCTACATAATGATCTTTGATTTGACGTGCATGAAACTACCCTGTGTAAAACATTGCATTGACACTGTCAATACTCAATGACTTACCTTGTGTATATATTGTCATTGTTGACATACTGTTCTAGACGCTGTAAGGGAGTTAACAGATCTTCCTGACCCTGTTCATAATCTCCACCAAATAAGATGTCATCACCTGTGCACATACGTTAAAAACATTTATTTAAAAATTATTAATAAACTGAAATAGTATCAAAATGAGTGATTAAAAATGGTAGTGACAGTCAGATATGTTAAGTGGATTCCCAACTTAAAATTGTCTTTGAGAGAGGATTCTGATCAATTCTTTGAGGAATCTTAACTTCAATATGTACACAGACACTGATTTTGAAGAAACAGAAAAATAAAGAGGGGCACTTAAATAGGCAGTAACAAAGAAATAATTAATTCATCACTGTAATATAAATTCATTACAATTTTACTTCAATGCCAGATAAAATTTGCTGTATCCCAAAATAATGAGTTAAGAAATTTAAATATGCACTGGAGTATGTTTTGAATTTGTTGGCTAATCCCGTTTCAAACAGTACATAACATAAACTAAGAAGGATTATCTGAATTTATATTCTTGGATACTAATCCTTGGAATTTAAGGGGAAATTGCTTTAATTTACGCGAAAAATATCATTTTTGTATTTTTCTGACTGTCTCATTTTTTTTTTTAATTTATTAACATAATTGGTATAAATATATATATATAATGCACCAAAGATTATACAGTATACTGGTAACTGCAATAAAATGTATATATGCATGTGATTTGAAAGGAGAGAGGGGAAATAAAAACAAAGAAAACACCTTAGTTTAACAATGTTGTATATTAAAGCAGGCATTAAAGCTATGTATTTAGTAAGGGCTAGTGGTCTTAAGGTTTAATATCCCAACTAGAACAACCACTTCTATACATCATACCATTTTAGCTTCCCTTTCAAGAGTTAAAAACCATAACAGCAAAATTGCAATTAACTTGAGATGAAAATGCAAGGAATGCATGTAGTTATTTTAGACAGCAAGAGCAAAGGCCTCAAAGAGCAAAACCAAATACTTTTGGGGTAATGGTGAGTGATACTTGAAAGTTGGTGAAAACCTTAACTCTTTTGGCGATGGTATAATTGCCCCTCCTTAGTTATATATACAGCACAAAAGGACATAAAATAAGAGAAAGAGATAATTTACAAAGGGCACCTCTCAGTGAATATATTGTCTTTGGTTGAATGAAATTTGTAAATTGCGTTTTCTTGGGGCACTTGCTGTAGGGACTAAGGCAAATTATTCAGACACTTACCGTCACCAAGGGGATCCTCTGCATCATCTTGATAAAATTCTATGTCTGAAATGTAATTAAACTTTGACTTAACCTGGATGCAAACAAAGAAATCATTGAGAAAATTACAATAAAATTTGAGGAGTACTCACCCGCCATATTGAAATCCCCTACTGCACAGCGTCGGAAGTTGTGATTGGTCGACCGCGATGTAAGCGGCACGCTGATTGCACAATTGGTTCATAAACGAAAATGTCATCCCGAGCATAGGTCATCTTCTCTGTCGCATTCGCAATCACACTGCTTCTCTATGCATTATCTCTGACAGAGGTGAAATAAAACTTAGAGTAGAACTGTAAGTTGACAGATGTCACATAAGCAGAGACACAGAAAGAGAAAGAGAGTAACAGGTAGTTTCCACAAACAGACCATTTTTTAAGGAAATTTCATTGTCAAAATCTTCAAGTGTCATGTGTTGGTTACAATATTTTGCTTTAGGCAAGTTAATTTCTTTCTAATTTATTATTCACCTTTATACACCTTGATAAGATAAATAGTACCAGGTTGTACATAGATCTGTTCAGTGCTTGACTCTGTAACTTAGACGAAACATCTTGCATTTAACTTTTCAGACAAAAATCGATGAAAAGTTTCATTCATTCTAGGCCACTAAGGTTACTGTACATGATAACACATGCAGTGCATTTACCTGCTTTAGTGAACTTCCACCTGTATATTGCGCCTTGTCAGCCTTAAAACTTTATAGCCTCAGATATGGCCAGATAGAAAACTGTTAGTGTTAAAGGTGAAAATATGAATAGATTCAGTCTCATTCAGATTCAGATTCTTTATTGATAAACACCTTCACATACTGTACAAGGTACAACCAAGAACAGCACAGCTACTATAGTACTAGTAACTATAACATAGCACAAACAAATAAATAGATAAATATAGATTATCATATTGTTGATATATGGCTATTTAAACCACTTATCATAATTTTTTTTATGGCACTTAAATTAAAGACTTTTAACACTTTTAAAAAAGCATTTCTATTGAAAGTTCTTCATTCAATTTCGATACAATTTTGTTAATTGGACAGACTTTTAGAACCAAATCTTTCATTTCATTTTTTTTTCCCTAAAATCTACTGGTCCATATCTGGATTCGGTAGTCTACATTTAAATTTCATTCATTTTTTATTGATTTGTTATAGGATAGGACCCAACCATACACTGAACAGCAACTGATATGAAATGATAATACTGTACATGTACGTACCATCAAAACCTGCTGCCGTATGTACACATACAGTACTGCAACAAATGGTTGTCCACTACACTGAGCAAATGAACTCTCAAACTGGCACTGCTGTGAATATACGAGTTCTAGTGTTGAAATCAAAGAGGCCAAAAGATGAGCAGTTTCTGGTGGAAGAAGCCATGTACTTTAAAACTGAAAATCAAGGATGCATAGGGAATGGGTGAACTTGTTCCTAAGGTGATTATTTTACCAACTGTTTGTGGTGATAAGTAGAGTATTTGGTCATCTTATTGGAGCAACCAAATTCAGGAGAGGGAGCAGTCCTCAAAAATGTATGGGATCTCCCTCATCCCCCCCCCCCTCCCCCAACCGCCCATTGAATTTAACTGGTTTTCCCCCCACCACCTCTCACCATTAAATCTAACATACTGGGATACCTTAATTGTATCAACAGAAGCTATTTTATAACCCAAGCAGATCAGATCCCCTTCTATCTTGTAATTTATCAGTAGTTTATCAATGTTATGCCAGTAATACTACTGGCAGGATGACTTTGATGATAGCCAAGTGACTCTAAGTTTTGAAGTTACAACCAGCTTGTTTCCTTTCTTTTTCTTAGTTTCATTAAAAAAAATAAAAATTGCTGCGATATCAGAATTTTGAATCAAAACAAGGTGTATACTTTTCCTCTAGTAAATGTCTTCTGTCTCCATTTACCTGCATCTGCATTTGTGATCATGACTTAAAAATAATTATGTGATAAATTATGTATTATGAATTGAATTGAATGACAATTTAAATTTTTTCCAGGAAAGGAAACTATAGTATACCAGCCACAGAGTGCAAACCCTTGGGTGTTAAAACCAATGTATTGCTGCCCAAAAGGATATATATACTGTAGCTACTGCAGTTCTCTACAGGGGAAGATTGAGGCCGTCTTCTGGGTTTTCGGGAAGACGGTCAGATTCTCATGTTAACATTCTAATTTTTTCTGTTGAAAGACCATCAAGAATGGAGGATGGATCAACAAAAATAATTTGAAAGACAGTCAGAAAATATCTCTGGATCTGCCCCTGACTGCTCTAGAAGAAAGCACAATCGTGGAGGGCACTATACCCAAGGTTGTACATGGCGTATTTAACAGCTGATCAACCACTCTGTGCAGCAAATGCATTCTCGATAGACTTGGCAAACAATAATAATATACCAATACACACAAACGCACTCCCTGGGAGCTGCCTTATGTAACAGCTGACTGCTTTAAGCCTAGGTCCCAACCGAACGTACAGGCTGCTACGTGCGTGTGGTCTATGGCCAAAAAAATGGGGAAAACGTGGGAGTTCGTGCGTGAGGAGCGTGTCCATTGTGCGACTTTTGGAGGACACAAACAGCACGTCGAAACTTTTCACCACTGTACTTGATTTCTTCCCTGCGATCTAGCTACATCCTAGCCGAACGCAAGGAACCTAAAAACCATGCGTCCAAAACGTAGTTGGGACCTAGGCTTTATTATGGCAGAAGCTGTGTCAATCTATGACATCAATTTGGCCAGTAGCAGAGCACACAATTTTTTCTATAACATCTTAATTTGCTCTGTCCTGCTATTTACTTTATTTGTTTTTATTTCTGGAGATCAAGAGGTCTGTCTGTTTGTGGCATTCATTCTGACATGTGGCAGGTGGGCACGGATGCTCACTTTGTATGTTCAAGTGTAGATTAAGTAACCATAGTCTACCAGCAAATCAATTTACCTGTGTTTTAGGCTACTTGAACATAGGGCATTTACTGATTGTTGAAATCGAGACGGTTTTGGTCTGCTGATAAACTAGCTTGTGCTTGCAGTAGTGGAACATCACTGTTTAGCTTATTAAGTTATTTAAAAATATTCAGTTTTCTTAGTAACTTTTATTTTCATATATATATCTGATAAACTGGATATATATATTTTCATATATATATCCAGTTTATCAGATGTTGGGCATGGCCTCCCACACCCTGAGTTCAAGATAGCTGACAACAGCATTCTTCAATCCAGGGAAAGCTCTCCGCTGATGGTTGCATGAGCACAGAGAACGCCATAGTTTTCTGTGGACTTTTAAACTCGGGGTACTGGCCCATTTTTAGGTGGATATGTGTATATTCACATGATGAATAACACCATTGTTAACTGTCATGGTGTAGTTAACATTGTAGTATTACTATGAGTTATCCTTTGTCAAGTATAAGGTGTGAAGTTTTATAGTGGAGTGGTCAACTTTGCAAAATATATTTATTGTATTCATTCATTCATTCATTTCATTCATTTCATGGCTTTGTTACAAATGTACCCTATATGTACATGAAATAATTTGATCAATAAATTATATTGTGTTCAGTAGTCATGCCTGAAAAAGTGCAAATCGTTCTAAAAGAAAAAAAATATATCACAAAGACATTTTAACCAGATATATACGGTGGCCCTAAGTGCCATGTGGAGGCAGAGTACATATTCTTCCCCCTGTCAGGCCAATAAAAAGTCCATTGACGTTCAGGGTGAAAGGACGGAATGTAGATACATTGGCTTTTATGCTGTTGTATTTAAGAAGAGAAGAAGCATGTGCAGTTACAATTTACAGATATATATTTTGAAATGGGTCAGTCATTGCACAGGCATCGCCGCAGGAAGGTTCATAAAGAGCTAGTGGTATGTTTATGTACAGTGTACATGTACGCTGTTAGAATTTCAAAGGGTTTTTTTTTTCTCTTATCTCTTGGACCCGTCTGTGCGTGGTTACTCTACACGTCATATGGCTGACGGCGGTTTCCCTGTTATCTTCAGAAAATAATTTGTTGTCCAATAAAAAAGTAAGATTAGGGAACGTTGGACGTTGCAACCGGATTTGTTGAATGTAAACACATTTATTGGTGTAATAAAAATACAGAATCTTCGCATATGTTGTGCAAATAATTTATGTCGTTTTTTTTTTCCTTAAGACCAGATCTCCGTCTAAGAAAATTTAAATTATGAGTCTCTGTGTTGCCGACGGGCCCGTCTCATTGAAGATGCTGTGATCCTTTAATGCAAATGACGTCAAAAAATTAGATACAGTATTGCCTGAAAGGGAGGGGCAAATCGCACGTGAGTGTTCTTATTTTTACTGCTTTTTAAAGTTATATTGTGGTAGTTTCATAGAAGAACGTGTTGATAGACGATAACCTCCTCTGCCAGCAGAACTGACAGCAATATTTAAACAATATTTAAGAGAGAGAAAGAGATAGAGGAGATGGTTCACAAGCTACACCCTGTTGGCCCATTGACTAATAAGGAACACAACTGACAGGTATAGTTGTCTATGTGTAATCCTAGGTTTTAGAGGAATCGATGAAGATGAGTCAAATCTTTAACTGAAGTAGTCATTTATCTTCCTACACCATAAAACAAATACAGGTACGGTTTAAACGCATTGGTAGAATAACAATATCCGTTTTTCTCCTCTCCTCTGAAGGCTGTACTGAAATCAGGCACAAACATGCTGTATTGATTCAAAACTTCTCTTCAGAGTTTAAGTGATAAGACACAGACAGGTAAAGTTGCAGGTTCCGTTTTTTTTTTTTTAAATCAAAACTATTATATATATTTGGTAACGTGTTGCGATACAGTATTCTGTTGACGCCAAACACTGGATATAAAGACTGACGTTGAAACATTGTTTCAACAAAGGCCAAGGCACGCCAGTAGTCAAAAATCAACGCCCAAGAGCCTTAGAAAATTGCACATTTAGATTGCTTCCAGAGAGCCTGACGGAATTATCAAGTAGACAAAGTGGAGGAAAATAGAGCACACAGAAATTTCACCGCCGCGGACTGACAATAAACAACATCGACAGGTAAAGTGTCTCACTTCTGGCACACTTCAACTAATTTTACCAAGACTAGTATACACTTTCGAGGGTCTTTTGATAGATAAAGCCGTTACTGTCTCTGTATAAAGTAGAATATATGAGATGAATCATATTCCCTTGCTGA